CATCAAACAAATGAATGAGTGAAAATAGTAGAAATTAACTGCTTGTATGTGTATATATGTACCTGGAAAATTAAGATCTTAAAGCTTGCAGAGAAGAAACAAAGTTATGGAAGAAAAGAGAGTTTATAAAAATGGCGAAGAAGCAATTTTAATAGTGAAGAATGGCTTCATCACCAGAACTCCTTATGACCCTTGTGAGCCTTCTTAGAAACACCCAAACGGATTTTTAGCCCTTCCTAGAAAATGTTTAGAAAAAAGCAGGATAAGTGGTTAATTTCCTGGAAAATACTTGGAAAAGCAAGGGAAAGGTATTCGTCGATAATAATTGAAACGCGTTGATAGCCCCACATGCACATGAGAAGGTATAATGCCAAGAACAATCCCTAAACTTTGCATAATTAAAGGCTCACTGTCATCCTTTTATTATAAAATTAAAGAATCATCAAGATTCTCAAAACTTTGAATAAAGAGTCCATTATTGTCCCTCCATTAATGGACCTTGTAACACCGTTTATGCGAAAGTTAAGTTTATTGTAAAAGCAAACGGATCTTTTTTCCTAATTTTTCATCAACGAAGCGGATTTAATGAAGATTATACTCTCTCGGTTCAAATTATTTTTTAGTTATTTTTGTTATTCTTGATTTTAATCATTTGAAAACCAAATGTGAATTGAAATATATTATTTATTGAATTGATCGGAAGTTGATTTACTTGTGAATATATGATTTATTTTTAGTAACATTGAATTAATTTTTAAATATTAAGTTTTGAATGTTTTCTTTTTGGTAAAATTTCATTTAATTACAAATATTAAATTATTTGTTTGCAATTGATTGTAAATGTTCATTGTTTTGTGCTTAAAAGTTATATAAAGTTTTTGAACACCCAATTCATCGCCTCTCTTGAATTGCCATCATCTGAGCTAACAATTTTTAAAGTAAATATCATGTCATTATTTTTGAATTCAATAACAATTATTGGTGACTTTAATTTGTCTAAATAAATTTAAAAAAATGATATAAAGACAATTTTTATATAATTTTTTATTTAATTTCTATATGTAATTAAATGAGTAAATGTATTTAATATTATATTTTAAACAAATAAAAAAAGTTAATTATTTAAATTTTTTTAAAGACAAAATTAAATTTATTACTAAATTAAATAGAAGAGGTATTCATTTCCATATACACTAAGCCATGGTTAACATATCAACCCTTCCCAGTACATATGCAATGCACTAAGTTATCCAGTACATATCCCTTGACAGTACTTGTTCTTATATGCAATATGCAGTTTGGATTTTGCAAATAAGACACATTACCCTGCATCAAAATTAAAGATAGAGCCTTGGATTCGAAATCCATTCATGGAAAAGCATGTCATTACCCTTGCCTCTATATTTCAGCCAGTGGAAAGATCGATCTTGGATCAAATCTAAGATTTTATTGATGTCGATCAACCCATCCTTAAATATTCTTTTAATTCAGGTTCCTTAGAGTGTCCAGAGTGTTGCAAACCATATGATTTCCCAACCATGTTTTGTTCGGTTGCAGTGGAGTAGACCTTCATGCTTATCAAAAGCCTCCCAACACGTTGCTAATCCTGTTGCAGTTATTATCCACCACGTGTAACATTTGTGCCAAATTGCTTTGGCCACCTTGCAGTAGAGAAAAAGGTGGTTACTGTTCTCATTGTGCTTGGTAAATAGGCTGCATTTTGTTTTAGTGGCATCCTTAATAACTCCATGTCTGATTAGATTTACTTTGGCTGGGATTTTGTCCAAAATAGCTTACCAAACAAAACTACAAACTTTTTGGGGGACAAACGAGTTCCATACTCTATCAAAATTCCTTTTATGAGGCTTTGAATAGGAGCTCTTGAGGAGGTGATAGCCTGTCTTTGAAGAATAACTACCACTTAAGTTATGTTTTCGTAATCACAAGTTATCCGCAACAGGATGGATTTTCACATTTATTACCAGCAAGCCTTCAAGTTTTAGTACCTCCTCCTTTTCCCATGGTGAAGTTGGCGTCTCCAGGGAAAGTGCCAGACCCATTTGTCACTCCCATGTGCCCATTTGATAGATGGAGTTTTCTTTACCTGTAGAGATTGAAAATAATATAGGAAATACATTGAAAATAATCTAGGTAGTTTTCTTCGTCAGTAAAATTAATTATTTAAATGATAAATAAAGTTATATAAAAGAATTATAAAAAAATATTTTTAAATTATTTTTTAAAACTAAAATAAGATAAAAGTATCATCTCATCAAAATAATTAACAATTTTAGAATTTTCACATTAGTTTTTGTAGTTAGAAAAATGAATTTTTGGATGACTTACCATCCATATTAGCATTTAACTGCATCGAAAAATTATGTTCAGCGACCATTTTAGTATATGGTGGATGACTTACCATCCACTGTTAATTTCCTTCTGTACTGCAAAACAATCCAACAACTTAAACTTGGATTTCGAGTTACTAACACAACCACTAAGGTTCTAAATAAACCAAATCGATCAGCATTATATTTCATTTTGGCCAGGAAAATAGATCTCGGTCATTATTATATTGAAGGCCAAATTAATTATGTGTAGAAAACATGTATGCCTAATATGACATGACTATATTCGACCTAAACTTAATCAATTGAACATTTATATGTGCAATAGCCCGTGTTAATTATATTTAATTATACGTGTTTTTTTTAATTTTCTAATGTGGGATTGCTCATTTAACATTATATATCCTTATTAATTCTGTTGTAAAACAATGATTAAAAAAAAAAAAAGCAATTCTATATAAAATCCTGTCAAGTGCATATATATTTAGAAAATTAAGTCGATAAATGACTTATTCTATTAAGAATTTGATTAAGATGTAAATGCTATTTCAGTTAAATACTTTTTCCATATGAAAAGTTAATAAATTAAAGTGTGTTAACACAGTTCAAGATTCTTTCTTTCTTTCTTTTTTTTTTTTAACAAAAGTAATTGTTAGTAATTAAGTTAGGAATTGTTAATAACTGAGGATTCGATCCCAAAATAAATGATTTTTCATCCCATTATTGAGGCACGCGACTATCAGACCGTACGGTGAAGTTCCACAGTTCAAGATTCTGGGCAGCACAAATATTCATATACCTTGATTTCATATTAGAATTTATACCAAATCACTAATCACACGCCACCCTTGACAAGGAACCACTCTTTTTTCCGATTTCTCTTTCCCGCAATGAGCAATGCTAGGGGCACTCGCCTCCTGCACTCTCCGGCCAACACTTTCCCTTTTATTGGGCCACGTTGTTTTGGTTCTGAAGAGGTTGGGCTGAAAGGTATAGGGGAGCTTACGTGGCCCAATGAAAGGGAAAGTGTTGGCCGGAGAGTGCAAAAAGCGAGTGCCCGTAGCACTGCTCTTCCCGCAATTCCACCAAAAATTGCAAAATTCTAGCTATCGTTAGAAAGGAATATTCTAAACCCATATATAAATTGCACAAAAGGTCTTAAAACCAATGAAAATCTTCCAACAGGATGCCCCTTATGGACTAACTGCAAAAGGGTACTAATATTGATCAAGACAATTTGGAAAAAGGTGATCATTCTCTCTCCATACCTTATCTTTGTATAATTTCAAAAACATGTCAGTCAATATTAATCAATCTAGACAAACATGGATTAAGTTATAAATTAAAAAAATATATAAAGATAAGGCGGCTATAGATATTTCCCTGTATATGCCCAATATATTCACATATATCATACATATTAATTTTGAAAAATTAACTATTAAATTAAACATTTTATTTATATAAATTATATATATTAAATTTCAAATTCTTTTATAAAATGAAAAAAATACATCATCCCTAGCTAAGTGAGCTTGAAAAATCGTATGATCAAAACAACAAAGAAAGCAGGCAGACCTCCATACTCTTTGTGCAGGGTAATTAATTTGGTGCAAAAATAACTGATATCAAATGAAGAGAAAAAAAATACATGTACGTGAGGATCAAACAGATGGATGAGTGAAAATAAAACAAATTAAATGCATGTATTTATGTACCCGGAATTGAATTAGGATCTTAAAAGCTTATAGACAAGAAACAAGGTTATATATGGAAGAAGAGAGGATTTAAAGATGGGGAAGAAGCAATTTTCGCAACGAAGAATGGTTTCCTCACCAACACTCCTCATGATTGGGAGCCTTAGTAGCAACACCCCAAAGAATGGTTTTCCCCTTCCGGAAAAATGCTTAGAAAAAAGCAGCGAATGGTTTTTCTGGAAAATGTATGTAAGTCTTTCAACTGACCACCCCCCAAAAAAGAAAAAAGCAGAAAGTGCAAATCAGCCCCTTTGTTAGAAAAGTTATGGCATATCAGCCTCTTTACTTTTTTGGTGGCAACGCGCCCCCTCTACTCATCAAACCCATGCAGACGGCCTTTTTTTTTTTTTTTTTT